AGCAAATATTTAAGTAATGATGACTCAGTCGTTTAGGTTCACGTCAGTGTGCACAGTCACTGAGGGCAGAAGCAGAAAGACCCCCCCCCCCCCCCCACACACACACACACAGGGTTTTAACATTTCAGGCAGGAACATCAGGAACATCAGGGTCACATCTCTGTTCTTTATGTCCGGCTTCACACAAAGGAATCCAGTGTACAAGAACACAGTGGGCAGCAGAAAACAAGACGAAGAGAGGGGAGGGCTGTGAAAAGATGAGATTCTGAGTGCCTGTGTGGCGTACAGTATCATATGACTTCCAAAACAGGACTGTGGGCAGAGGAGCTGGGGGGAGAGGAGGGGCGGCATGGCAAGACGGGCGTGTTGAGCTCAGCAAATCAGAGGAGTTACTCGCTCAGGCTGGTTTGTACCGCCTGGACTTGGATGTTCCCCGCAGATGTCCTGTGGGAGGATTGTGTTCTGGCAGGGCCATCTGCTCCCAGGGCTGCTCACATGCACTTGGCTGCTCGTGGCGTCTTGCAAATAAAAACCGTAACATAAATCTGCTGCTGAAGGGGTCAGCCATTATCCTGCCATACGGGTAAAGTTAGAAGAGCAATTCATTATAGGACATAAAACACGAGTAACAAAAGAGTTTCTGACTTTAATACATGTTTGGATGATCGTGTGGGTCTCTTACATAACTCAGACTTCTCGGTGGTTTTGCATACCTGCATGTGGAACAGGGTGAGGAAGGAGCACTTGTGCAATTGAAACTGACTACGTAGATCTGAATCTATCAGCTCAGCCTTACTTTGCAGAACAAAACTTAAAAGTCAATAGAAGTATTTAATCTGGGGCTGTTCAGCTAAAATGCTCAGGGGGGGCCACAGTCACTGACAACCAACAAATCAGAGGCCGGACGCTCAGCAGGTATTATTAATTTAACTTTTCAAAATCTACATTTTCAATGAACTCATTAGCAGGCGGACTGAGTTGCACAGCTTTGTCGCTGATCATCTACCTGTATATAACAGGATTATCCCTCTAACTGTTTGTCATTTTAGACTTTTTAAAATGTTCTGATGTTTTTTTTACGGAAGAGGATTAGGGCCACAGTGCAATTTTTTTCCCCTGTTAATTCTGAGAAAAAAGTCAGAATTCTGAGAAGAAAGTTGGAATCCATCTATATAATTCTGACTTTAACCTCAGAATTCTGACCTTTTTTTTTTTTCAGAATTAAGGAAAAAACTAATTATTGCACCCTGGCCCTAATCCTCTTCCATATTTTTTAGATTTAACTTTTTTTTTTATGAACTCATCTGTGGGCCAGACTGAGCCCCCAGGCTGCCAGTTGAATACCAGAATCAGAACCTTTCTTGTCATTGCACAGAAGCACAACAAATTTACATTATAGACATCCAAAGAAAACACATGGGTAGACGGAGATGCTTGAGGCTGCAGCCTCATGGGAAGCACTGCCCTTTTAGTTTTGATAAGAAAAGGGAGCAAGTAGGGGAGGGGGGAGCAGAGTGTCTTGTTCACATAACATCCAGGAGAATTTGAGATAGTCAACCTTCCAAGGCCGACGCCGGGGGAGCCAGATTCAGATATCAACATTTGTTTTGGGTCAGGACAAGCGCTGTTCATTTCCATCTGCCTTTCACAGTCTCGCTACATCTCAATGGCGACTCCAAACAGCCGCATTGTGTTCACATATGCCAAGTCGAGCTTACAACTTCTCTGAGATCTATTTCTTCCCGCCAGCGAGATCTTGTTATTATAAATCCAATTACCGATGTGCAAACATCTTCAGCATCCTTGACTGACAAGATGGACAGACACACGATCTTCCACTTCCCCCAGGAATCCATCGTGTATCTGGCTGCCAGTGTCCCGTCGGGGCAGGAGGGTTCTCCTTCGCTCTGTCTTCTCGTTGAGAAAATTTGATCAATTGCATTGAGAGACCAGCTGACCAGTAGAGCTGTCATTTCTAACCTGAGCCCTATAAGCCCGGCCCCACCCGACCCGACTTCGGGGTGAGCCGGGCCATGATGTGCTGGATGGGCGGGCTGGGTCGATGTTGGGCTTTTAATTGAGTCAGGATCAGCCACCATCCAATTATATGATAACATGGCCAGACAATCACCAGCCGCATGCGGCCATTTCACCACGAGCTGGCTGGACTTGAAAGAGG